TGACATTTATCATGTTTGTTTATTCTAAATTCCTAATATTGAAAGTTTATAATTCCATGAATTATTGGAATTAATAACAATTAGTTAATGAAAACTTGCTGTATTTTTTAACATTTTAGAAAAAAAGAAAAATATAAAAATAATGTATAGCATACCTGAACAAATTGGACAACAGTGACCAGGAGCAGGTTTTAATTGCTTGCTCTGGGCACACGTGAGGGCTGGACAAGGTACTGGATCGCATTGTGCTAATCCACGGTAACAATGACACATGGAGCACGGATCTGTACTGGAAGTCCACTGAGTACCTTCTTCATAGAATCTAGTCTCATGAAAACAAGCGCCAGTTTCGATGTCTGATCGGGGTGGTTGAAGGTTGTACGCGACCACTGAGGCGACATCATTATCTGCATAGTGAGGAAGACAGCTGAGCGGCGCTCTAGCCTTGAATGGAGCTTTCAGAATCCTTTCAGCCTGTTTATCCGTCACTTCCAAGAAACAAATACCAGATTCGATTCTATATAATTCTACTGGTGAGAGACCAGTGACAGAACCTTCTAAGATGTATCCAGTAAATTCTTCCAATAATCTTCTAGCTACAGGTGCTCCTTGAGCCAATAAGGGCATGGTTTCTAAGTAAAGTCGGAACGTACGTGACTCATGATTATTGGTAGATGTTTGAGGGAAGCCAGCAATTTCAAGTTCATAATGAAGGGAACAGTCTAAATCTACTGCTGTCCACACCAAACCAACTGGACCAGGGTGTACAGGTTCTTGGAACAGTCTCCTAAGCAGAAAAGGTGCAGCAGTATCTCTGGCATCGGCTACTGGTCTTTGTAGTAATCGGCCGCGCAACATGGAACCAATGTGTGAAGCAGCAACAACTGCGAGTTCTCCATTGAACAAAGATTCGAGGAATCGTGGCCCTGGACGTTCCACGGATCCATTAGCTAGATCATTGACGAGAGAAGGTGTTAAATCTTCCAACTCGGTACGACGTTTGCCCCCTTCATCTACCAAAGTTACCAAAGGACTCTCTTCTTCCAATCCTATTAATTGAACACCATAACGCAATGAACCAGCATGATCCAAAAATGCCCATGCCAAACCAGAAGCGGCCGAAGGTGTTTCTGAGAGAAGCAAAGTCTGATACATTTCACAATTGGTACGTGGACCTACTATGCCGGCCAATCGTAGAGCTTGAGGGTCTCTTTTAGACATTATGCTAATGGAGAGTTTGCCTCGAGTCAGTAAACGAAGATCCGTCCCTGATAGGGCATTTCGAACCTCTCCGAAGTTTAATTCGTTTGAAGGTTTCTTTACTATAATTTCTTCGCGTAGAACCACGTAGTCCTTCTCCATATGTTCTAGTTGTACTATCAATGGAACTTCGGAAACATCATTAGGTAAAAAAACACCATTAAATACCAAGGATACGTGGATAAATGGCGCTGATGCCGATGATGCTGAGACTATAGCGGTGGCTCCTGCACCTGACATCAATGAACGATCCACTCCCATCGTTGGTTCCAACAACGAAGAATACTGTTCCGTGGATAAGGCACGATAACGAGACAATTGTCCTATCAAGGTGGCCGATGGTTCCCAAATAAAGGACACGTGTAAACGTTCATCACGAAGTAACTTCCGATAATCTCGTGGAACCCTTCTCCACACTCCACATAATTTACCTGTAGCATTTTGATACACTCCACCAATGGGATCGATTGTTTGTTCTTCTAAAATACTTCCTGATCCATCGATAAATTGTATGCTTCGCGGACGAGGAGTTGATGTTGATAAATAGAAGGAATAATAGAGATTTTTGCGATGAAATGTAAAACGACCTGTTGCAAGATAGTTATAAGCACTGTTGTACATTGATGTTAGATTGGGCTCATCGCGACGCAATACTTGAGATGTTTTACCCGTTAGAAGCGTTCCAAAATCTAAAATAATATAAAAATATATGAGATGAAAAAATTATATTTTAATAAAAATGGATTGATTGAATATACTGTTGGAAACAGTTACGTTTTAGACTTCGTTCCTCTTCCTCGGAGGTTAATTGCACGGGCACATCTTGCACTATATCAGTACCTGGAACATAAATGATCAAATTTATTTAAATTTCTATTTTATCTTTTTATTGGCTTTCTTTTCTAATTCTTTTTAAAAATTAAAAAAATCAACAACATCAATATTCATTTTTTCACTTATATATAATCAGTAAACAAACACAAAAGTGGGCTTCGTAAAAAGGATGTTTTATTACCTCATGAAATAGCCGCATGCGCGCTACTGTCCTCGAAACTTCGAGACCTCTAGCGAGAAACTTCTCATTAAAGTTCATTTCGTAAGAAGCATTGATATATGCACGAAGCCTTATACGTTAGTGATGTAACATTTGTATACTTATATTGAATTTCTCTCTTACTGTTAAAATCATATATCGTGATCAGAAGAGGTAATATAAATATACTTTTCTTTTTTCGTCTTTTATGTATTGCCAACAAAAATAATAGATATATACGTGTTTCAAACTGTCGCGATCGTGAAATCAAAGTGTGCATGCATCATGGCGTATCTATAATAATTATACCGAGTGATTCAAAATTCAGTGAAAATAGTCGATGAAAAACGGTGAATGTAGAAAATGATGAATAGAAAAAGAAAGAAATTGAGTAAAAGAAAAATAAAATAGAAAGGAGAAAAAAATATAGACACAAAAGAAGAGAGAGAGTGAATCTTCTCATTCAAAAATATAAAGAATAGCACGGGATACAAAAAAAAGTGATTAATGCCAATTATTTTTTGAATATTACTTTTCAATATTGCGTTGCATATATTGAAATATTTTCAATATTGTGTTGATCCAACCACACGGATGTGTTAATTGATATAATAAATGTGACAGTGACCATCATTAATAGTTGTGGAATATCACGACACATTTCACCTTTCTATCCGTTTTCATTTCTATATATAACTCATTTAACCTGTAGATTTATGGATATTTGCTTCGCGGAATTCTATAACTACAGATTTTCCTATTAGTTTCTTTCTAGTTTTATTTCTAATTTCTCTTTCTCTTTGCAATTATATGCAGTATCCTTTCTTCTATTCTTATAGAATTTTAAGATATGGAATTGATATAATTAATATTTTTTATAAATTTTAATTTATTATCATCATTATAATTGATGTTTTTTTTTTTTAATATACACAGAGAAGATTAAATGTTATTACATAATCCTTCATTATATATCAAGATTTAAATTATAAATTTAAATTAAGTGCAATCTTTTATAAAAAAAAAAAAAA